CAATTAAACAACCTTCTCTATTCTAAGCAAATGGGAACTCAATTTAGTGAGGAAAAAGGTTTTCACATGAAACTCACAGCACATGAGCTATCCTCTTCAGTAGATGCTGCGTATTACCGCTTGCTTTAAACAGAAGCCCACACAAAGCCTAGCTGTTTGCAGCATCTGTAAACAGCAGGCTCTGCCCACAAGGATGCAGCTGTTACAAAGCTAAAGCAAAACCACAGAGCCATAACTAGTTACTGAGTCTTCTAAGCTGCCTCCACCTAGACAGCTAGGTAGTTAGGAGTCCATGATGTTAGGTAAGTGAGGAGCCTGCAGCAGGCTTTCCGCACACAGAAACAGCAGAGGGCCGGGGATTTAGCTCAATGGTGCCACTGCCTGCCTCATAAGCACAAGGTTCCAAATTTAATCTCCAGTACCAAAAAATAAAAAAAAAAAAGAAGCAACCTAAAATTTTCATAATCCTCTAGTGAGATTTACTAATTTTATGTTCTTATTCAGATCTGTAAGTAACTATGAGACTAACAAAAGAAAAAGATAAAGACTGTGGAGCTTAGAGGGGCAGAGTGTAAAAGGATGCTTATTAGCAACTAATTCTTACATGGTAGTCACAAAATACAGATAAATCAAGATTCAATAAGAAAACTGAGTTTGACAAATTACTGTGTGACCCTTGCAAATAAAGAGATAAGAAGTTAAGCGAAACACCATCACATGATCTAGCTGTTAGGTAAACAGCCCTGGAGCAGCCTGGCTGGAGCCGCACACAAGTGCAGAACAGCACTACTGTAAAACCCTCCAACATGAACCCTGGTGCCCTGTGAGCAAACGATGCAAACACAATTCTTTGGGCTTGGGGTCACACAGGCCAAAACACTCACTCTTTTCAAGAGCAAAAATGGGGGTTCCAACTGCTGTGCCCATTATCACAGAGTTTCAAGCCGAGTTTAAAGGCCGCATCATGCTTGGATACAGTGCGTTCCTGTGTCCACTGGCCAACAGGTTCTGAGGCAATGTTTTGACAAATGACCAAACTTCACACAGTAAAACAGGGTCAAGGGGACAAGTACAACAGAGCAGTTAGGAGAGCAAGCTCTGAGGCTGTGAGTGTAGCTCAGTAGTAGAGCAACTGCTAGCCTGAGGCCCTGGGGTGGATCCCCAGTCCCCAGCACTGGAGGGGGCACCACCACCACCACCAAGAATGCAAGCCTCGGAGTCACAGACCCCAGACTGACAAATGACTGTGTGACCTTGAATAAATCACTCCATCTAAGCCTCAATGTCCTCACTTGTAAAGTGGAGACAACGCTTCATTCAAGATTCTAGGATTTAACAAGGTGATTCACAAAGCACACATCCTGCCTGGCACAAAGAAAGTAGGTATGCAATTATCATCATCATCATCAATCTGTAAAATCAGCATAATTACTATCTTCCCACCTTCAATAAAGCTAACAGTTTCCTGGTAGCTAGATAAAAAACTTGTAATCACAAAGGCATCTGTATGTACTGATACAAGGGCAGGCAGGGATTTAGCTCAGTGGCACCTGCCTCACAAATGCAAGGTCCTGAGTTCAATCCCTGGCAGGGGTGGGGGTGGGTTGGGGTGTGAGTATTTATATAAAGGTAGCTTTTCATTCCACATGAGACAGCTTTCTATTTCTCCCTCTTTAGTAAAGAATAATTCAAGGGCTGGGGATTAGCTCAGTGGTGCCGTTGCCTGCCTCACATGCTCAAGGTCCCAAGTTCAATCACCAGCACCAAAAAAAAAACCCAAATCAAGAATAATTCAAATTTAGCCGGGCGTGGTGACTCATGCCTGTAATCCCAGCACTTGGGAGGCTGAGGCAGGAGGATTGCAGTGAGTTCGAGACCACCCTGGGCGACATAGTGAGTTCCAGATCAGTCTCAACTACATAGTAAGACCCTGTCTCAAAAAAAAACCCAAAAAAAACCAAACAAAAAGAATAATTCAGATTCATTCTGAACAGCTTTACACAAGTAAACTCCAATACAAATCTTAATTAGGGTGGGTGATTTTCAAGGACATCTGGATTGATGATCCAACCCCTTCGGGTTAGTTACAGCTGGCATTGTTGGAAATGTTTGTTTTGTTCTTGTTTTCTTTGGAAATGGAAATGACAGAAAAGGAAAGGGAGAAAGGAAATCTTCAAATCATCCCACACATCCTTACTCAACATAAAAACAATAGAAGGTTGACTGTTAAAATTACGTCAAGAGTGAATTATAAATGGGATGTAGCACCATGGCAAAGGGCTTGCCTCACGCGCTTAACACACTGGGTTCAAGTCCCACATTTGATTCGATTTCTATTTTTAAAAAACTAGAAGATAAAGAAAAAAACCTGGTGAAATGTTTTTACAGGCCAGATCCAAGAAAGGGTGCCAGGCATGGTGGCACAGCTGCAATCTCAACACTCAGGAGGCTGATGCAGGAGGATTACTACAAGTGTGAGGCCAGCGTGGACTGCACAGTGAGTTCAAGGCCAGCCTGAACTGCACAGAGAGTGAAACCCTCAAAAACAAAAACAAATCCAAGAAAGGGAAAGTGAAACGCCAATTACTCCTACAGTCTAAATAACAAGCACCCATCCATCCTTTTAAGATCATGGCTTTAAGATTATTTCCAATTTGCAACCAACTGTCTCTCTGCAATTCTTAACACGCCATTAGCTCAACAGTACCTTTACCTTCTACAATCATCCTAACCAAATATTCTACATCACTTTGGCCAAGGACAAAAATAAACTCTTATGAGTTATTATTTTTCTGTAATTCACAGGAAATTGTAAGTTATTCAATCATTCTTTAAAAATACACTCAAAACGACAGTGAGAGGTGAATTTGGGGGGGAAATAAAATGAATCAGTCATAGGACATTTGTTCAAGGTTGACAAAAAACAAATTTCAAAAGTAATACAAATTTTTAAAATTTTAGTAGGAGCAGAATTAATGAGCCTGAAGGTAAATAACTAAACTTTCAAAGAAAAAAGATACAGAAGCATAGAAAAGGTTCCAGCAGGGAGTACAAACTAGTGTTGTCAATCTATAAATTGATGGGGAAAATTCTGAATTTCAAGAGAACTCATGTTAAACTATCTGTATTAGTACTGGAAAACAACAATAGAATTTCAGAGGCATTTTCAAGCATTCCCAGGCATCTTCTTGTATCACGGACAACACTACAGAATGAAGGAGACATTGGTCAGATGCTCTAATTAACAACAGAAAAAATAACTACAGTCCTAAAAGAAGCTCTGTCACTAGAGAGAGACGCTGGACATTTTCTTACTTACTGTTTAAGCATCTAGAAGAATCTCCTACTTTTAAATGCAAATTACCAAGCTCTGCAGCACATTCTGCTCTATTTTTTTAATACAAAAATTACTGTGCTGCGGTCCTGCTCTAGAGAGGACGCCCATTCAGCCAGGAAAACAGAAGGACAAGCACACATTCTGCGTGTTCGGGTGCTCACGTCCAGGAAGCCGTCACCAGGTATGCACGACCTTTTCAGGGGAGAGACCACTGTCAGAGATCAAAATTCTACTTGAAAGTGCTCAGTTTTGAGAATTATCATGTCATGAAAGGTTATATACCACACAGATTTCAATACACACACTTGCATCACAGCAGTAACTCGGCATGCTTTGCCTTTCCAATAACGCTATGGATTTACTGGAAACTTTCCGAGTTTTAGTAACAATAATACAAGTTGCTATTTACCCATTCAGGATATGGCAAAACAAACAATATCAAAAACGCAAGAAATGATGTGCTGAGTACACACATCAGGCTCTGCACTTTTTTTTTCTTCCTGTTAATAAACAGTGGTACCAGAGGGCTGACGTGGAAACACACTTCACTTCAATGTATCAGGTGCCCAGAGTTCAAAAAGAACTTTAAAGCTAGAATAAGTCAAGAAATAAGAAGGCCATTATTGAGGAATCCATCCCACTGTCAAAGGTTGAAACTTGTTGCTGAAACCACATCTACTTTAGGAAATTTTATTTGTTGTCAGCAAATACAAACAAATCGCGAAGAAAGCTAGAGATATCCGGCCTTATAAAAGGTCAACTCACCTTTAGTCTTTCCAATTTATATACTAATTGGTTCATAAAACCCTCTTTCCTAGCTGAGACAAGTCAAATTCAAAATAAGGGAACTGTTCCGGGTGGTACTTGGCTTTCCCATCCTCCACCCTCAAAGGGAGGCTCTCTTCCTTCCCCAAAGGTCACCAAACAACCAGAAACAGAAGCTAAAAAAATGCAATTCCAATCTGTGAAACCTCAGCGTGGATGTTCAGGGAGAGGAAAGCAGTGCACTGGATTTAAAGAGCTCTCTAACTGTTGCCCAAAGGCCTGTGATTCGAGCAAGTCACCCAAAGGACAAGGCACCAGGCCAGCCCCAACTTTCACCTACCCACCCCCAACCCAGATAACCAAAGCCTAAGAATCCTGCAGATGAGAGCACCCCCGGGCGTTACTAGGCACAGAAATTATAAAGCCTGCTTTTTCAACGTGGGGAAAACTAAACGATGGCAGTCTTGTACTTTTCAACCACCTAGACGTGTTTAACAGTTCGATTCGTCGCCAAATCCAAGCCACCCTTTCAACTCTGCAACTAAAAGAGGAGGAGAAATTCTGGCCGACTTG